CGACGCAAAAGATGCCGACCTTGTAGAGCCACACGAGCAGACTGCCGACGAGCAAGCCGCCGAGGACAAACGCGATCCAGCACGCCGTGACGATGTACGACGCGTTGGCGAAAATGCGCTCGGCCAAGAGGAAGCACGCGACGGCGCCGACGATGAAGCCCGCGACAAAGATGGCCGGGCGCACGAGCTTGTAGCCAAAGAACGTGAGCACCGCGCCGACGGCGATCGTGATGCCGGCGACGGCCTCGGGACCAAAGCCGAGACTGGAAAAGTCGTCGCCGTTCCAGTGCAGGATGCGGTTGACTTGGTTGTCAAAGGTGCTGTTGCCGTTGACCGTGAGCGCGGCCGTGGTGTGGAGCATGAAGAGGACGACGAGGAGTGGAGAGAAGGAGCGCATCGGAATCTAGTGGTGATGCGAAGGAGGAGGGAAATTGGACAATGAAGAATCCAAAAGATTGGAGGCGATAGCACCTCTACACAGGCTTGTCAATGACAGGGGTAGGGCAGGCCATGAAAGTTTCAAGCGTGGGACATGGCACGGATATTTTGACTTGATCGATGTATGAACAATGGACGGCAGTTGTTTTTTGGCGCGGCTTCGCGAGGCCATGCTGTCTGACGCCTCGTGGCCACGGCCGTGGTTGATTGGCCCTTCGTTTGCAAAGCCAAAATTTGCCATGTTCATATTTGTGCCTAAAGATACGAGCGTGTCAGACACCGACTGCTTAGGACTGCAAGCGGGTGGCCCTGGTGACGCGACGGTCGTCAAGAACAACGAAGCAGCAAATATTATATCGCAATGCTGTTTCGAGGAGCATACAAGAAAGCACGGTACTCCGAGTAATTTTGTACGAGTACGGCACTTGTCTCCCTCTCGTTGACTAACAAGGACTAGCCATGCACAGTGGTCAACGGACGATGATACATACACTTGGCTACCCTCTGTGGACGGCGACTGCGACGTGGCGTCCTTGCCTCTGACTCCTGCGATGCGCAACGTCGGCGGCCACGAATGAAGCTTTTGGAGACATCGGCGCTCGCGGACGGCCTGGACACCACACTTGCGCATTGGCTTTCCACCGCATTGCACTCGGTTGATAACGCAACTTGGCCGTCCATGGCGCACGTCACGCCCCGCCAGCACGTTATCACTCGGCAGTCGACGCTTTAATGGCCATGGCTTTGTCATGGTGGCTAGGCTTTGACAGCCCTTGTGTATTGAAGGCTCTTCGTGATGACGTGATGACGTTGTCACGGAGACCGAGCGCAGCAATTTTTCATTTCGGTTGACAGTACAGAAGTCGTGTAAATCATCTTCATCGCACACTGAATACATCATACATTAGCTTGGGAAAAGTCGAGCTTCGACGTGAGTCCGCATCAGCACCGTGCTTGGTGCTCGTGCGCGCATGTGAAAAATTGATACTTTCATGCAAGAATTGATACTAGCCCGGTCGGGCGTCATAAAATTAACGTAAACACTACACGATAGCGTTCCTCTTAGACGTGGCGGACGGGGTTGCCATACGCGGGGGACGCCGACGTAATGTAATACCCGTTGTCGGCTGGCACCGCGTTCGACTGCGCTGCGCGCTTGGTCTTGTTGAGCTCCTGGAACTGCACCGCGATGCCGAGGCCGCAGAGCACAGTCGTGCCCGCGAGGTAATACCACCACGAGCTCGGGATGTGGTAGATCCAGTCGCCGTTGGCGAAGGTCTTTTGGAGGTACGCAGCGTTCGGGTACCCGCCGGCGAAGAAGCCGATGCCCCAGACGGCGCCAATTGCACCAAAGCAGCTCGACGCAAACACCAAGAAGGGGCGCTCGAGCTTGAGTGCGACGAAACCGAGACCGAGGCCGAGCACAATGAGGAGCACGATCAGCACCGTGTTGGGGCTCGACGGGTAAATCAAGTACCCAAACGAGTTGTGGATTTGCGTTGCGAGCAAGACGCCGGCGAGCGCACCGACGCAGAAGATGCCGAGCTTGTAGAGCCAGAGCACAAAGCTACCAACGAGAAAGCCACCGACGAAGAACGCGATCCAGCACGCCGTGTCAATGTACGACGCATTCGCAAAGAGGCGCTCGGCAAGGAGGAAGAAGCCTACCGACCCGAGCGTGAAGCCGGCGAGGAAGATGGTGGGCCGCACGAGCTTGTAGCCCAAGAAGGTCGCGAGGAGGCCGGCGCCGATCGCGACGCCGGCGACGATCTCGGGACCGAGCCCGAGGCTGCCAAAGTCGTCGCCGGTCCAGTGCAGAATTTTGTTGACTTGGTTGTCGAACGTGCTGTTGCCGCCGACGCTGAGGCTCGACGCGACGTGGAGGAGGAACGGCAGCAGCAGCAGCGAACGCGGTACATGTAGAGCTGTGGAGGACATGGTGACTTGTGGAATGCAGTGCAATGTGAAAGCGCTCGTCGCGTGTCCAACGGCTAAGTGGCCGCTGGCGTCAATCTTTTCGCCCATTACTGCGGACATGGGTGCGAATTGAGTTTGAGTTTGAGTGGCATGAGCCAATCCGCGCGCGCGAGATGCACGCAGTTGAGAAAGGGAATGATGGTCGATCGATGCGACCTGTCCAACACGTCTGTCCGGCCTTCGATGTGCACGATGACCACGTTCAAGAATACTACTCGCGAGCGGTCGAGTACAACTATGTGGGAGCTTACTAAACCAGGCTCTGGGGCATGAAGCCGTCCTTCTTATATGTGTGTACCCACGTCAACACCGTAAATTCAGCCAAGGGCAACTGAGATCGGAGTGTTTAAAACGCTTGGCATCTGATCTCGAGACGTTTTAAACACTACAGCGTCCCCGCCAAAGTGAACCCTGGGAATGGTCTTGATGCGGCCGGCGAAGATGCAAGTCTCGCCGTGCGGTGCTAACGACACGTACCAATGGCGGTTGCAACTAAACGTTCGCAGCACTTGTGCGTCTTGAGGGCCACCGGGCTGTTCGGGGCGAGCGACGAGAGCAGCACCGCTGACGAAATTCATTTTTGGGCAGTTCTGCCATCACTTGCATCGGCGTCGGCCAGTGTAGCCGCAAGGGCTCGTACAAAAAGCGCTATACATGGAACCTTGGTAACGAAGAACGCACCCTCTCGACCTGCCTTTCGGTGTCTTCCATCGAAAACGCAGAATGTTGGAACATGGCATGGGCAGTATTTTGCGACGCTGACGACCTTAGCCCTACTAGTAGGAGCCATAGATAGCCGGCCCGAGAGACTCTCGTAGGCCATGTGACGCGGCCAAAAGTACGAAAGATAGAGCGCCAGCATCGCAATTCATCAGCATCGAGTGACGTCATGGATCAAGTCGATCCTCTTTGGCTTTCCTTTTCGCTCCACGCACGTTGAAATCATGTATCATGAAGAAGCAACTCGTTCGACGTCGCTTTTGGTGCAGAAATAGTCCGTGGCCGTGAGCTCCGAACCAACGTTAGTCCAAAAGGGCAACACCGGCCTGTTTTTCCTATTTAGTTTCACTTAGTTTGCATTTTGCATCTTCGCGCGGAAAACAGACCGTACGCCCCATCGCGAGCTCGTGCCACGACCCGCAACCGGCAGCATCGCATGGCGTCAACATGTGAATGTCATCAACTGGCAAATTCGCCCGCCACCTCAGCTGCGTTATCAACTTAACGTTTATTTTCACCGCCGCCTCGAGCATCACGAGACCAAGACCTGGTCGGAAATCTAGAAGAAACCTCGGCGCGTGTCTGAGGCCGCGTCACCTTTTATGCTTCGTCCTCGACACGGTCTTTCCACGCGCCAAGTGTTTGCTCGTCTGCTGCGGGCGCCAGCGGGCACGACGCCCAACTGCGACGCTGCCACCTGCGACGGCTTCGCGGAAGTCTCCGTCGGGTCTGCGACGAACGACAACGAGATGGCGCGTGCGACGCCTCGTGCCATCCGTGTGACAGATTCCACCAATCCGGCCACGGCAAAAACATGTCAGCGATATTGATTTGCCAAAAAGAAATTCGACGCGCCAATGAAACCGTCCGCGACAGTGTTCGGGACATCCTGCGCAGAACGCCAACGCGCCATTATTGTCGGCTCACAATTCAACTTGACCCAATATGCAACACCACCTCCTTCTCTGCATGCCCAAGGCTCTGCCCGTGCAGCGCCCAAGCGTCATCGCGTGGAACCAGCTCCACCCCGACAGCCTCCTCTACGCGTACTTCGCCCACCTGTACTATGGCGGCGACGACCTCCTCCTCGGTCGCGACGACGCCATCGCCTTTGTGCACGAGTTTGCCGTCGAAGTCACTCGCCAAGGCGGCGTCATGGACGACGTCAACCTCTCAGAAGGCCTCAACGCGCTCACGCGCTCGGATGGCCGCATCAGCATGGCACGCTTGGTCGAAGAGCTCTGCCTCCTGCTCGTATAGCCGCCCACTCAATCACAGTAGATTTTACCTTTCTAGTTAGGACTCTATATTTATGAACGAAGTAAATATTACCATTCTTTCCCCATATAGATTGACGTTATCACTCGACTACGCCCTCGACGCTCCCTACGACTTGATGCTGCAAAATGCTAGCACCAACTTCGGCGCATGCAGGCGTAGCACTACATACGTCACTTCTAATTACGTATGCAAAACCTTTGCGTTCGTTTTTCCCAACTTGATTTCCGGACTGGCTCGCCAAGCGAAACGAGGCGCTCTTATAAGAGGCCAGACCGCGGCGCACAACAGTGCGGTGGCAGCTCGCGGCGGCCACAAACAGAAGGGGCTTGACGTCAGAGCGATCGCCAGCCAGGAATGGCCGCGGCAGTGTCTCAAGAGTAACGCGCGGATATCAATGAGACGCAGAGTGAAGGGCCGCGACCACGGATCTTCAAGACAGCGCTCTGCAACTAGCCTGCACGGGACGAGCTGGCCACAAACCAAGACGAGAGCGTACCACGCTTATCGTGCTTATAGCCTTTGCAGAGAACAAGATCGATGTCCACAAGCCCAAGCAACTCTGCGTGTCTACACGATTATCGTTGTGGCCATGGTGGGCATCATCCATATACCGTTTTGCGCATGTGATTGGTTCATGGCCGTCCGCCGATATTTTTCAGCCAATCACGTATGACACAGGAGGGACCGTGAAAGATCTAAGCGACAACGGCTCACTTCCCATCAAGCACCCCACATCTCCAACTGCCATGTCCAGGACGGCGGCGCCTCCTAGCGCACTCTTGCCGCGCAACACCGCCTCATGGAACCACTTGGACCGGTCCAGCGCCCTCTACGGTTATTTTGTGCACCTCTTCTACGGCGGCGAGGACCTCACGCTCGAGGTGGCCGAAGCTCGTCAGTTTGTGCGCGAGTTCGCCGCGTTTTGCCAGCGCGAAGGCGTGTCGCTCGAGCCCTTTGACGTCGACGCCGGTCTTTGCGCCTTGCACGCGAGCGGGCAGATTCATTTATATGCGCTCGTCGAAGAGCTCGTCGTGCTCGTGCAGTCCGAGTAGAACGGGCTCGGGATTTGAAGCCACATGAGGCGACAACGACACCATCTATTTAGCTTCGAAATTGCATTTGAATCAGGAAATAAAGAAGAAGACAAACATGAACCATTGCGAAACGTGGTTGGTGTTCATTGCCTTGGGCATTGGTTGACGCCTGCCGTCGGACCCACAACGTCTGCTCCGGACGCGCCAGTGCACTTCACGGTATATACTCCACCGCATGGCCCAGAAGTGAATTCCGCTGCCTCGTCGCCGACTTCGCCGGCCATACAAGATGTCTGGTTATGTAGCCACTACCATGAACATTATCGCGCTGTTGTTATTATGGCGTTGTACGAATCCCGTGTCCAGCGATAGAGAGGGCGACACAGTCGGCCATATCCAGTGATCACGAGAGCGGTATCTAGAAACCAACAAACCGCGGGCTGACGTTGTGATGACGCGATGCTGTCGCGCTGTCCAAATGCCACAAATCCATGGTCCTTTCTCCATTATTTCTCATGTACCCGCTCGCAGTGTCGCACGCCACCTGCCAGCGTTGTGATGCCTCACAATTCAAGTTTCCCGCGACCGCACAAGTCCAAAGCATGATGGGCCAAACCATGAGCGTTGCACCACCAGCCATGCACGATGACAATGGGCTGCTTCCAGTGCTCGACTGGCACAGCCTCGACAGCCACAGCCCGCTCTACCCGTACTTTGCCCACGTCTACTTTGGCGGAGCCGACCTCTTTTTGAGCAAGACCGACGTCACGGCGTTTGTCGGCGCCTTCTCGGACCAAGTGGCCTACGAAGACAAAGAGATGGACGCGTTCGATGTTGACGCAGGGTTCGAAGCGCTTGCGAGCGAGAGCGGCCGGCCAGGCTACGTGCGCCTTTTAACACTCATTGAAGAGCTCGGCCTCCTCGTCGGCGACTGAGGTTCTTTAGCTTCTTTGTGTCTAAACTATCTATCCAATATTGTACACTACTCGTTTTTTTGCGCTCTGAACAGTGATACGGTGGTTGCCGGCTCGTCATGGGATTCGAGATCGTTGCGGCTCGAAGCAGGCGATGGAGGGAGGATCTGCGGTGTAATGTGGTGCTTTCGGTGGCGCCCATGGTTGACTTGACGATGTTGTTGTCGCATGACTAACTAATGTGCGAGAGGGTTCGAGAGCAAGCGCGTTTTTACACCTGCGCAAAAGACGAGCCACTTCAAGTGGACCATAATGGCTCCGACCTGTAGGACCACGTACATGGTATATTCATTGGCAATAACATTTTGCTGCATCGTCCTGGTAGACACGGCCAAGCACATTCGAACAATTTATGCTGTAGCGGAATACATGTATTCCGTCGTGGGAGGGTTAAGAAATAGGTTAATTTACCGCCTGAATAAGTTCATGTATTTTGTTGACGACCCGTAGGACACGGGATCCAGCACCGATATCTGAAATGCTGTCATACTGGCCGGTCCACGGCAGAATTCCCATCGAGATGCGTCGCCACTGCTTTCCATGATGCTGAGCGACTTTTGGATTGCGCTGGGCCGTGACATTGCGCGGTCGCTGGGATTTTTTGGGGGAACAGACTCGTTTCGCGTCGATTGCAAGGTGGTTGTTCGCTCCACAAACCTGCAACATACAACGCATCACGGACGACGCACGAGCTCGATGACGGTGCGCTTCTACTACTCGATATACTACTAGTCGTAGCATTGTATGAGATACGATTCGAGCCCAGTTACCACGTGAACAAATCCCGTGCGAAAAGAAAATCAAAGGTGACAATTGATGAGGCACGACCAATCGAGCTGCGATTGCGAGATGTGCTCCATCGCATTCCCAGCACGGGTTGTGCGATCGGATGTCTATCGAGCAGTAGGGATGCTATCAAAGAAGGCCCCCGAGTTCGCTACAACCAGTCTTTGCGCGCGTCGCACGGTGCGGCGAGGTCGCACACCCATCCTGCAGGTGCACGTTAGCATACTCTACGTTCGCCACGAACTCGGACTGCGACAACAACGTGGCGATTGCGTCGCCATGCGGATATCGTATTCGGTAGATCGATCGGCGCGCATTCGATTGGCCGCCGCGGTAGCCAATCACGATCGAGCTACCAGATTGCCGTTGCCGTTGGATACGTCATTTTGCCATTTTCCATTTTCCATTTTGTCAATGACCACCACCGCCGGTTCGAGTCCGATGCACGTCAAGGTCCATTGGGACGCGGTCGACCAAAGCAGTCTCCTCTACGCGTACTTGGCCGACATCTATTACGACGACGGGACGGGCGAGATGGAGCTCGACGACGTCAAGCACTTTGTGCATGAGCTCGTGGACCACGCCCACCAAGAAGGAGACTCAATCGCGCCGTTCAAGGTCGACGACGTCATTGCAAGCCTCGAAGACCCGAGAAGCCACCGCGTGCGCTTGCAGTCGCTAGTCCACGTCTTGCAGATTTCGTAATCGCCTCCATTTAGGCTCTATTTAGGCTCTATTTATGCTCGTATTGGTTGGTGTCGTAGCAGTGCACGAGCCTTGGAAATGTTAGCCAGGTCGACACAGGGTTAAGGGTTACAAAAGTCGTGCGTTGGAGGGTAAAAATAGCCAACACGAGGCGACAAGAGCAGTGTGCTAGGGCCGAGGCGTCAGGGACTTGACGCCGAAATGTGAAAACCTGGAGCCGATGTCGCTAGATCTCACCACATCTGGGTGGTCTTTCGATATACTCCAAACGAGATTACGATGCAATGAGACAAAAGGCTAGTTCGCATACCCGTCTCCTTCTCATCCTTTGCAAGCCGATGCGGATTCAAACGATCGACGGACGACCTATCGAGTTCGAGCACCCAAGAGACTGCAGGCATCGCCGAAGAGACTGCAGGCATCGCGATGCTTCGTACGACGTCATCTCAAGGTTGCTCAAGGTAGCAACCGATGGTGGTAGTACAGGAAGCCCCGGCGGCAAGGTGACACCAAATAAGAAGCTCAAGCAACCTGTCTTGGGCTGCATGAAGAAGGCTGGTAAACGTAGTATGCATTGAGCGGCGACTTAGACTTGGATCTTCTCCAAGGCTTCTTTCAGGTACGGCTGCAGCGTCTCGAGCTTCTTCTTGAGGAGGCCCATGGGCGCCTTACCGTCCGAGTAGGCACAGAGGAGGTACCCGGCGCTGGCCGACGTGACCGCCAAGCACTTGTCCTTCTGGAACTCGAGGAAGAGCACGCGGAGGTCCTCGGTCGGGAAGATTTCCTTGGCCGAGTGCTCGTACTCGGCCCATACGTTGGCCGCGATCGCGCCGACGACCTTGACGTCGACAGCCGGCTC